AGAATGGTCTTTTGTTTCACAAGTTACTGTCATTATTTTTTTAATAACTATTTGCACACTTTGCCAAAAAGATGTTGACATATGATTTGACATAATGAGTGTTGACAATATATGATTGGATGGAAACGTTAATCGTGTTTTAAAAAATTCAATGATAAAATGTCATGTGTTATTATGTTAACCTTTCTGACATTGTACCATGAATCTTCACCTTTTTCTTGATGATTTATTGTGTACATGTATTATCATCCATACACATGTATGAAGGATATTATGAATGTATGATAAGTAAACAAATGGAGGGGGTGGTGGGTGTAGGTCTAATTTATATTCCAAACAAGGATTTTTCATTCCCAATTCTATCTACTTTCTCCGCAATTGTTATTCTGCTCTCTTGTTAAGAATAAATCTCCATCTACTTTGTTCTTTAAGATAAAAGTAAGAGCAGATCACATCATTTCTCAAATTTGGTGACAACCAGATTCCTTTAAATCCTTTCTACAGACAAAAATTTTCTTCTAAATGCAAGCAGCAAGAGATTAATTAATCAAGAGACGAAACGGGTTTGATCAACCATGGAAAATTCCAATACAAGCAGCCCAACAAACCCGATTGAAGGTGAAGAGGAGATAGATGAAACTGAAAATGAAGGCAAACCCATGTATGGGAACAGCTCAAGCAACAGCACTGTTGAAGAGAATGGAAAGAAGGCCAGTTCTGGATCTATAAGACAGTACAATAGATCGAAAACGCCTCGCCTTCGATGGACACCGGAGCTCCACCTTTGCTTTGTTCATGCAGTTGAAAGACTAGGAGGACAAGAGAGTGAGTCCTTCAAATTCTTTTAACCTAATTACTTAATTTTCCAATATTTCCCCTCGATAAATATTGTTCTTTATAGGTTTTAATTTACATATTATTGGTGTAGGAGCAACTCCAAAGTTGGTTCTTCAATTGATGAACATTAATGGCCTTAGCATTGCTCATGTCAAGAGCCATCTTCAGTTCATTATAATTTGACAATTAAAATCCAATTAATTATCAGAATTTTTCTGCTTTATACTTTTGATTCACTTTAATTTTGCAACTAAATCTTTGGATTAGTGTTGTCCGATCAGATGTACAGAAGCAAGAAGATAGACGACCCTAATCAAGGTATGAAATATCCATACATAATACCAAAAGTAGGGTTCTAGTGCCTCCTAATAAATTTTGCTGGAAAATTTATAATTTGCAGTTATTTTGGAGCAACAGCTTCTTCTTAATGGTGGAGATCATCATATTTATAACCTTCGTCAGCTTCCTATGCTACAAACTTACAATCAAACACCCATTTCGAGTTTACGGTACGTATAAACTTAAAATTGCCTATTGAATATGGACACTTTTTCCTCTTTTAAACTTTTTCCAGCCATAATTTCGTTATTATCCTGTTAAAAAGCTATGGAGATGCCATTTGGAGTCACCGTGACAATTCTGTTTATGGTCCTCCTCACAATGGATCGAGCACTATAACAAGAAATAAATTGTATGGATCAGCTTCTGAGAGGATTTTTAGGAGCGATAACAAGGGATATATACAGGGTTATGATTTTCACAAGAATAGGCAAGAGCCCTGCTGGAGAGCCCTTGAAAATGATCAGAAAGAACCAGAAAGAGTATTCCCAAATCAAAATTTTTGGCAAAATCAAGTTGGAATAACCTTATCAAACCCAAATCTCAGTAGCAAATTGCAAGATAGGAAGCATGAACGCACAAATCAATTTCAAACTTCTTTCCCTCAAAGTGAGAAGGCTCCGATGGTAGATCAAGGAGGTAGAAGCGCATTGAAAAGAAAGCTTTCAGAGGTGAATCTTGATCTAAATTTATCTCTAAAATCGACCTGTGAAGTCGATGGGAGAAATCATACAAGTTCCAAGAATGATGTAGTTGATAGTAGCTTATCTCTGTCCTTATTTTCTTCATCCTCAAAGGAAAATCACAGAAAGCATGCAAGAATGGAGACTAGTACTTTAGATCTGACTTTGTGAATGAGACAATTCCTAAGTGAGATTTTGAGTACTTTTCAATGCTATTATGCACAGGTTATTGTGAGGTAATATCTATCCACTGCTTTGTCGTCTTCTTATTCTTGATCCGTATGCACAGACAGATGGGATAATTTAATTTAGTCAAATTGTTATGATCTAACCAAACATCTAACAGTTTTCAAATATAAAATCTTCACATCGGGAAAGGGTTTAAATTAAAGAGACAATACAGCTCTTTGTCCCAGTATTTCGAATATTTGCTTAAACTTGGAACTAAAATATGGACTAGTGATGAAACTTCAATTTTAGGTGCTGTACCTAGTTTCCTTAAATGATTATTATTGTTGTTATTATTTTTTTGGGTACTTACATTATTTTCTTTATGTGACATCTTGAAAATCTTGTTATAATTCTGGAAGCATGCAGTAGGATTTTCCATGTATTTGAGAAATCAGTTAAAACTTCATCCACCCAATATTTGAAGTTTACAAAATAATCAGAATAATTA